GCCACCACTTCAAAAATTCCAAAATTCTCATTTCCAGACAACTACGGTTGGATGCTCCCGCTCGCCATCATCCTCATCATCCTCATCCTCCTGTTTATCATTATCTTCGCATGCAACAGTGCGCCAAGTACAAGGCCGATCAGTACAACGTGGCGGATCGCGAACGGGCGCTGCACAACGATCAGGTGCCGCTCAAGAATAGTGTCTGAGAAAAAATCGATAATTGATTTTTTGGTTTCTCTAATTCTCTTATCTCTAAATTTCTCTCTAATAATAATGTGCTCAATTTACTCTGATTTTCTCTTCATACCTATATTAAATCCCGCCCCCTTTTACCCCCATTACACTGCCTTAATAGAATGTTTTGAGCCCCAGAATTTTCACTTTAAAAGAAGCCACGCCTCTTGAGGCTCCGCCCCTTTTCAAAGAGGCCCCGCCCTCTTTTCTTCCCACGAAGCCGGTATTATCGAATCCCTCTTCAAACTTCCCCCACCCAATTTGACCACCACCGCTTTTTTGCTTGTTTCCGGTATTCCCCTCTTTTTTTTTTTACTTTTTCGAATACAATTCGTCGCTAATATGATTTTGGGATTTTTGAAAAAATTTAGATTTTTTTTGATCTTGGGAATTTCGGATTTTTTCGAAAATTTTTTGGAATTTCTGGATTTTTTATTTTTCGAATTTGTGGAATTTTAGAAGTTTTTGATTTTCAGAAATTCCAACTTTTCAGAATTTTCAGGAACTTTAGAATCAGATTTTTGTTATTTTTGAACTTTTAAATTTTTCAAAAATATGTAATTTTCAAAATTTCAGGATTTCTGAGAATTTTGTGTTGTTTGGAATTTTCTAGATTTTCAGAATAATTGGACTTTTCTGAATTTTTTGGATTTTGGAAATTTCCATACTTGTAAAATTTTGAGCTCTCAATATAATTTTTTCCATTTTTTTTTCGTATTTCGGATTGTTTGTCTGTCTGATCAAAAAATCGAAAAAATATTTTTTGGTCGAAAAAAATCACATAAGGGTCCCCCCTTATGTGTTTTTTGAAAATTTCGAAACTAGTGAAATGACAGGCCCGCCGGGCCGGGCCTCCGAAATTCGGGAAAAAGCCCGGCCCGGCCCGTTACAAGTATGGAAATTTCTACTTTTTTTGAGTTTTCAGAATTTTCGGATTTCTAGATTTCTATAATTTTACTAACTCGGAGAATTATCTGTTTTTCAAAGTTTTCTCAAATTTCAGAATTTGGAATTTTCACAATTTTCACAATTCCAGGATTCTGAGAATTTGGATTTTTTTTGAAACTTGAATTCCTAGAATTTTCGAATGTTCAGTTTTGAAATTTAAGGATTTTTAAAATTTCAGAATTTTCGGAAACTTTGGTTATTTTAGAATTTTTCGACATTCAGGATATTTAGAACTTTGGGAATTTTCAGTTTTTCGATTTTCAGAAATTTTGGATTTTCAAATTTTCGGATTTTTGGATTTTCAGAATTTTGAAATTTTTGATTTTCATAATTTTCGAATTTTTCAAGACTTCGAATTTTTGTATTTTTTAGATTTTTCAGAATTTCGAAAATTTCTAGAAAAGAAGTGCACTTATTTTTTGGGAGAAAAAAACTTGAAAATTGAACAAACAAAAAGCAAATTTCAAAACATAGAAAAAAAACGACGGGGTGGGGGAAGCAGTAAAGTAAAACAAGCCGGGAAGATATTTAAATGAAAAAAAACGGGGATAATTAAAGTTTTTTTTTTGCAAGAAGCTATGAGAACGTTGAAGAGAGTCTCGCAGGGGGAGGGAAAACAAAAATTAAGGGAAGAAAAAAACGAATTATGAAGAAAATCAGGAAATTATTCATCACAGGAACGTTTACATTCCTGGAAGTCCTGGCATTTGTCCTCCCGATGCGGTACGTGGATTTTTGACGGTTTGATCGATGGACAGCACCAGGCACGCGGCTTCTGTGGCGGCGGTGATGGCGTTCTGAAACATTGGATTGTTTTGGAAAAGTGGGCGTGGCTTGGAGAAACATCGGATTTTCAGATTTTGAAATTTAAACATTTTTTGAGCTGTCGAATTTTTTAGATTTTCGGTTTTTCAAACATTTTTGATTTCTCAGAAAACTTCGTATTATCAGATTTTCGAAAATTTGTTTTTTTAGGAAAAGGAGTTGTGGGCGGGGCTTAGAGAACGTTCCCGAATTTATTTTGAATTCCCGCCAAATTTTTGGACTCTTCAGACTTTTCGATATTTCAAAATTTTTTGATTTTCAGAATTTTCAGATTTTAAGACTTTTTAGGATTTTCAAAAATTTTGGTTTTTCAGAAATTCTGAATTTACTAAATTTTTCAGAACATGAGGAAATGTGGGCGGGGCTCTTTGAAGAACTTTTGAACTCCAAAAGAAAACCTGATCATTCTAGGCCACCAGGGATCTCGTAATCTTACGACTAAGCTAGAAAGGGACGGAGTCTCATAGCCGAGAAAATAACGCTTTGAAAATGGGCGGAGCCAGTTAAAAACCAGAAAAATTTCTAAAGGGGCGGGGCTTGTTTTTTAGATTGTTGAACTTTCGAATTATCAATGATTTTCGGGATTTTTAATTGTGACATGGCTAGAAAAGGGACGGAGTCTCATACCCAAATAAATACCGATTTGAAAATGGGCGGAGCTTATTTTATACGGACTTTCAGATCCAAATTCAGAACCTCTTCCAAAAGGGGCGGAGTTTAAAATTTCCGTTTCACTCGAAATTTAGCGAAATAGCTAGAAAGGGGCGGAGTCTCATACTCAAGTGAATCACGATTTGAAAATGGGCGGTGCCAACTTCAGGAGGGGCGTGGCTTATTTTGTGCGGACTTTCAGATAACTCACCCTCTTCACAAGACTTGGCTCCCAGACGCAAGCGGCCAAATTGTCTCCAACAGCCTCACGATGGATATCGATTCCGGCCCATTTCTCTCCCTGCGCGTGACGGTGTCTCAACTTGTTCAGCACGTCGAGCGCGTCGAGTCCGGCGTTTTGGCACAGTTGACGTGGGATCATCTGGAGAGAAGAAAATGAATGTATAAGGAGACTGGCGCGCCTTGGGCGCGTTCTTCTAGCTATCGTAGCAGCTGAGCTACGCAACTCTTACCTCAAAAGCTTGAGCATACGCCATCCAGAAAGCCTGATCCTTGCCCTCGATGCCCTTGGCGTGATCGCGAATCAAGCGGCTCAACTCCATCTCAATAGCTCCACCACCGGCAACAATCGAGTCGTTCTTCTTGGCACGACGAACGATCATAATGGCGTCGTGAAGGGATCGTTCAGTTTCAGCAATGAATTGCTCGGCGCCACCACGAAGCAGAAGGGTGCATGCATGGGCTTTGGAGCACTCCTCAAAGAAGTTGTAGCGCTCGCTTCCCACTTGTTGCTCGTAGAACTTTCCGCACTTTCCGAGGACGGAGTCTTCGATTTGGGATACGGTAGTAAGGACGCTTCCTCCGCACGCCGCCATCAAACGCTCCAAATCGTCCTGTGGAATTCGTCCAGCGCAGAACATGTCTCTATCGGCGAACCATTGTGTGGCAACGTCTCCAATTGGAAGTTTCGAGAGGACGACGTTGGCGCCCGAGTCGTGGATCTTCTGGAGTTTATCGTAGAGAATGTTCCATTCGGCATCAACGACCGCTTGGAAGTCTGAAACGTTCGTCAGACGCATCTCGGCGTTGTCCTTCTCGGCCTTGAGTTCCAGCTCAATGTTCAGTAGAGCCACCTTGACGCCGATGTACTTTTTGGGTTGCATTTCGAATCCAGCGTAGCTGAACGCCTTCTGGAACGCGACTCCCTTGATGAGACGGGATTCCTGGAAAGAAAAAATATTGATTTACATTTTCTATGTGTCCAAATTTTGGTTTTTTCCAGAAATTCTCTGAAAGTTTAAATTTGTCCGAAAATGCTCTGAAATCGACTGAAATATACATAAATGAACCGATTTCAGGCATTTTTCTGACTGACCATTTTGGAGATTTCTAACTAGAAAACGACTGAAATTCGGTCTAAACGACCTCAAACTGTGTCAGAAACTGGTCAACATCTCACAAATTGTGGTTTTAGTGGTCCGAAATCCTTGAAAAGTCGGTACAAAAGGTACAAATTTGTCCAAAATGCTATGAATTCGACTAAAAATCAAATAAAAATCTCATAGGGCCGATTTCGGAGATGTTCCTGACCAGCATGGGGGCATTTAGGGCTCAAAAAAAAACTTAAATTTGTCCGAAAATGCTCTGAAATCGATCAAAAATGGCCTAAAAAAACCATTTCAGGTATTTTTGGCCATTTTAAACCTAATTTGGACAGAAAATCACAGAAGTTTCGCCTAAATTACCCCTAAAATCGCCAGAAACGACGAAAAACTGGTTCGAAATGCGGTTTTGATAGTCAGAAATCGCTGAAAATTGCTCTAAATGTGTCCGAAAATGCACTGAAAACTTCAAAAAGTGACCTGAATCAGCTGATTCCGGACATGTTCCTGACCATTTCGGGCAATTCTGACTAGACAATGACCTACGCCGAAAATAGGCTTAACAAGGTCTAAATTTGACTAAAAATAACATTAATGAGTTGATTTTGGACCATTTCTTTTGCGAAAAATAACTGCCACGTGGCAACTGAGCTTTGGCAAACTAACATTCAAATTTCCTCCGTTGACCTTCTTGATTCCGATCATATTCAATGGAAGATGAGCGTCCAACGTATTGACAGCGTCGACAATCATATTGGCAAAGAACTGACGTTCCTGACTGACGAGCTTACTGCTCAACGTAGTGGCGGCGCACTTGACAAGCATATCACGGAGCTCCGACTCTCCACTGATCTTGATCTCCAGACCTTCCAACTCCTTCAACGTCTTCTCACAGGCCTTTCCGATGGCGCGGATGAGAAGTTGTGGATGGACACCGTCCTCGATGAACGGCTTCATTTGCTTCAGAATTTCGGCGGCGAGAATGACGACAGAAGTGGTGCCGTCGCCGACTTCGGCGTCTTGAGATCGAGCAATGTCGACCATCGTGGAGGCGGCTGGGAAGACAATGTCGAGGAGGCGGAGAATCGTGGCGCCGTCGTTAGAGATGGTTGTGGCGCCTTTGCTATCGACGATCAGTTTGTCGAGACCGCGTGGACCCAAGGTGGTACGGACACTGTCGGCGACGACCTGGAAATTTCAAAGTTTTTGGGGTTGAAAAGCAAAAAATCAGCATAGAGGCCGAGATTTCGTGAATTCGGGCGATTTCCACTGCTTTTTAAAGCAATTTCTTGGTTCTTGAAGCTAAAAACAAGATAATTGCAAGCCTAACAGATAGAAAATCGCATTTTTTGAAAAATTCGAATTTTCTTCCGTTTTTCTCTTTCTTGAAGACATTTTCGCGTTGATGAGCTTCTAAAGCAGAGTTTCTAGCTCTTCACAGCCAATTATCTGTAAATTTGCTCTCTGATGCCCAAAACGGGCAAAATTCCGAAAATTTTGTTTTTTCATGGAAAATCCTATTTTTAACGGGTTTTTTTTTGCGATAATTTTCGCTTTTCTAGCTCCTTCTAGAGCTTGTTTTGCCAGCTATGCTGCCTCCTCAGCAATTTTTCCCTACGGAATTCTCAATTTCCCGGGTTTTTTGCTTCCAGAATCCTCTTACCATGCAAGCATTGATGTTGGAAATGATCTGACCCTTTCCCTGCTTGTTCTCGGTTCCGTCCTTGAGCAGAATAATTGGTGGGCGCATCATCTTGCTCTGAAAATGGTTTTTTTTGGAAATTTCGGAAAATTCAAAATCGGCGAAAGTGATAGGAAATAGGTCAGATCGATTTTAAAATGTGTGAAATTCATTGAATCAATTGAAAAGAACAAAAATAGAGAGAAAAAATACCGAAATTTCGAGAAAAAAGGGTTTTTTGGAAATTCAAAAATAAGAAAAATGGCCCAAAATAAGGGAAAAATTCGGCAATTTTTCAAGATTTTCAATGAAAAATGAGGTGTATTCTACGGAAACTATTTCAAAATATCCAGAAGACGAGAAATTAATTTGTTAAATTTTTCCAAAAACTGAGAATGTCCCAAAATAGGCCCAAAATCCCCCCAAACACCATGCTTTTGGTCTCAAAATGTGCGAAATTCATCGAAAAATTTTCTAGAAACAAAAAGAACAACGAAAATCGGAGAATCCAGAAGAAAACCAAGATCCTCTTCGCCCCGAAGTTCCATTTCTTCTCGAAAGAATTTTCGCGGCGTCGCGTGCGTCGCGTCGCGGCTCCTGTGCGAAACCTAGTCTCCTGCGCGCTCGGCCACACGGCCACCGATTTCAAGCGCGCTCCATTGAGAAAGAGGAAGGTTTCGGCTCCCCTAGGGCTCTTAATCGTTCAGAATTCACAAGGAGACGTGCGGAAAGAAGGAGGAGAAAGGGAAAACGGAAAATGTCAATACTTGGAAGCATGTGTAGCAGGGGAAAGGGGGAAAAATGCAAATGTAGCGTTGGCAAGGGCAGGAGAGGGTCCAGAGAAAGGGGGGCTCTATGGAGAGCTCTCGGAGCAGCAGAGAGTTCCGTCTTGTGTTCATTGTACTCTTTTTCTTCTAAATTTTCTAAAATTTCCTAAAAATGCCCAACCTGGAATTCAAAATTGGGCTTTTAACCCATAAAGACGATGTCCACAAGTTCCTCATGGACCATTTCCGTATTATGGAGCCCATCACCACTTCCCTATCTTGCTCCGAAGAAGACGTCGCTGAATTCTTCGTGGATCTCACTATGAGTGGTCTGGAGGACGAGAAGAGCTCAATTCTAGTTTTCGATGGAGAAGACGTCGTTGCTGTCTGCTTGAATTCCATCAAAATCTGCAAAGAGCACGTGGAATCTGTGCCTTTCGACCCCCATCAAGACTACTGTGTGGAAATCTCCAAAGGACCGTATTCGAGAGAAAATGCGAATAAACTGGCAGCTTTTGTTGGTGCCATGGAACAAGACTTGAGTTTCTTGGCTGGAAATGCGAGAAGAATCTTCAAAATCGATGTTCTATGCGTCTCAAAGGCTTGTCAAGGGTGGGTAAAAATAGTAAAGAGGATATTGAAAGAGGGCGGAATCGAACCCGCGAGCCCGCGCATGAAGAACGACAGCACTACCGCCAGCGCCAGAGAGTGCATCAATTACTTATGCGGCAAAAGTCGTACATAAACGAGGAGCGCGGCGCGCCTTTCTTGAGCCAATAACGTTGAAATTCAAACAATTTCAGAAAAGGAATCGGTCGTCAGTTGGTCGAGAAAAGTCTGGAAACTGCTGAAAATGAGGGGTGCGACTATATAGCGACTGTCGCAACTGCAGTGGCGTCTCAGGCGATTTTTCAAAAGGTAAAAAATCCAAAAATCCCTTTTTCAGATAACTTTTTTTGGGCGATTTTTGCCTATTTTTCTGTAAACTACGTCGGATTTTTCACAATTTTCTCGAATTTTTCTGTAAAAAATTTCAATTTTTTGGTAATTTTTAAAGTTTGAAATCGATTTTTCGGCTTAAAACCCCAAATTTTTCGTTTTCAGGCCGGCCTTCACACCCTTCGCGAAATGCCCTTCTCGTGCTTCCGAAACGACGGTGACGTCGTTTTCCAGAATCTTCGCGACGGCGGTGTCAGTGGGAAATTGATGGGGATGTTGATAAAATCGGAGCCGAAAATTGAAGAAGATGAGGAGGACGATTTGCGATGAAAAATAGACTTTTTTCTGTTAAAATCAACGAGAAAGGGCCAAAAATTATTCAATATTTGATCTCAATTTACTAATAATTTTTAGCACAGTATTCTTTATCATAGAACCAAGTAATTTTATTGGAATGATATTCCTACAGCAATAATAATAATAATAATAATAATAATGATAATAAATATGTAGCATTTAATTGATAAAAGAGATTCAGAATCACCAAAAAATTTTAAAACGAAAAAAAAAGAGTATTTAGAATCCAAAGTCCATTCGGACTGGACGATAGCGGGCTTTGAGGTCTTCCAGCCTCTCAAATCTTGCGTCCAGCGCCATGTTATCATCCAGCCGCTCCTGGTACTTGACATCCATCTTGGCGCGATGCTCATCGTTCTCCTTTTCGATTGCTTTGAGTTTTTTGAGCTTGTTTTTCTGGAGTTTCGATTTTTAGAATTTAGAATTTTCGGATTTTCAGAAATTCAAAAAAAATTCTCTCAAAAAACCAATTTTTGAGTCTGTTATCTTTTTTTTAATCCGAAAACTATGATCCTGGTTGGAATTTTCAAAAAAAAAATGTTCCAAAATTCCAAAAATTTTGAAAAACTCAAAAATTCAAATTTTTCGAAAAATCCGAAAATCAAAATCCAGAAATTTAAAAAATCAAAATTTTCGAAAAACTTAAGACTTTCAAAAATCCAAGACTTCGGAATATTCAAAATTTGGGAAAATCCAAAAATTCTGAAAATCCTGAATTTCTGATAATTTGAAAATTCTAAAAACGTTGAAAACTCCGTAAATTTAAAAAATCTGAAAATTTCAAAAACCCAAAATTCTGAAAAAAAAAATCAAAATTTTTCTGAAAAATTCGGAAATTCTGACATTTCCAGAAATCCGAAACTTTGAGAATCATTCCGATTTTTGAAAGTTTGAGATTTTTCAAAAAAATTTGAATTTTTTGTTTTTCAGATATTTCAAAATTTTCAAAAATTTCGATTTTTAGAATTTTAAACTTTTTAAAAATTTCGAATTTTGTGATTTTTCGAAAATCAAAATTCCTGCGAAAAATTTTTCCAATTTTTTGAAAAATCAAAGTATTCTGAAAATCCGAAATTTCCAAAAATCAATAATTTCTGATAATCTGAAAATTCTAAAAATTTTGAAATATCTAAGATTTGCAAAATACCGTAAAACCTGTATTAGAAGGGCCGGCCCTCCTATCGTTCCAAATATACTTCCGCAGGGCCCTTCTATTCAGGGATGATCGGAATGGCCTTTTTCGGAGTTTCGGAAATTCGGAATATTCCGATTTTAAAATTTTCGGAATTTCGGAAGTGTCGGAATTTTTCAAAATTCGAACTTTACAGCAGAAATTTCATTTTCCCATTTTCGAAAATTGACAGAAAGATTTCGACAGAGCAAAAAATATCAAAATTAATTCTGTTCGAGACCCGCAGGTAAATTTTTCCTGGCATACTGTAGTCGGAAAAATTTTAATTCCGAAAAAATGCTTCTTAAAGGTAGTATGCGGTGAAAAATTTTATTGCTTTAATTTGTGCAGAAAGCCGTGTAGATTCCCATTAAAATAAAGAAAAAAATACCAAAAAATTCCTTCATTGAGAAAAACGGCATCGGAAAGTCAAAGTGGGAACCGGTGGCCCAGCGGCCAGGTGTGAGTTTTCTAGGCCAATTGCCGGTAAAAGCGCGCGTAATTCGAATTTTTATCGATTTTTAGTGTTTTCTCTGATGTTTTTTTAAAGATTTCAAGATGTTCTTGTTTATTTAATCCCAGGTGTATGAAAAAACCTGACAGAAATCTGAGCAAACACTGAAAATCAATAAAAATTCAAATTTCGCGCGCTTTTACCGGCAGTTGGCCTAGAAAACTCACACCTGGCCGCTAGGCCACCAGATTCAACTTTGACTTTTCGATGCCGTTTTTCTCAATGAAGGAATTTTTGTTAAATTTTTCTTTATTTTCATGGGAATCTACATGGATTTCTGCACAAAATAAAGCATTAAAATTTTTCACCGCACACCACCCTCAAAAATTCTGGTCGGAATTTCATTCCGAAAGAATCTTTCGGAAATATTCCGATCGGAATTTCTTTCCGAAAATCGTCGGAATTTTCGGAATTTCGAATTCCGTACCGAACATCCCTGCTTCTATTACAGGGGCCCTTCTATTACAGGTTTTATGGTACTAGAAATTCGTAACTTTTCCATGTTTTTTTTTGCTCACCAATTTCTCAATCTTCTTCTCCGATTGTTCCAACTCCATTTTAGCCTTCTCGCCACCTTCCCCAGTGATTGATAGAAAATTTTCGAATAGTCTTCTCACAACTTCCTCTGGCTTCTCCTCCTCTCTAACTGTCACATTGAAATCTGTCTTTCTGATCGAAAAGTCTAGATCCATCGTGACGGTGATCGGTTCATGGGTGACTGAGGAGATGTGGGCGGAGCTTGTGACCTCTTCAGCCTGCTTGAGCTTTGCCTCCCGAATTGCTTTTTCTTCACGAATCTTCGACATGTCCTCATTGATCTCCGCATGGTAGGCGGTCACTGGAAAAATATCACATTTTTAAAGATTCCAAAAAACCAACAAACAATTGAGAATCCTAATTTTTTTCTGACTTTTCTGGATTTTTGGAATTTTCTAATTTTTGAAAAATTACTTGTCAAAGTTTTGGATTTCTGGAAATGTCCGAATTCTCGAATTTTTGGTTTTTTCAAAATTTTTGGGATTTTCAGATTATCAGAAATTCTGGATTTTTGGAATTTTTTAAAATTTTGAATATTCAAAAGTCTTGAATTTTTGGATTTTCCGAATACCGAAAAACCTGTAATAGAAGGGCCGCCTATTTTTTAACTTTGAGCTCAATTATCTCAGCTCCTATAAGAGATATCAAAAATGGGTCAACTGATAAAATGTTGGTGATATTATGATAAACAATTTATCAGTAGACAACTTTTTTGTATCTTCGACAGGGACCGAGATAAATTGACTTAAAGTTGAAAATTAAGGGGGTTGGCCTTCTATTACAGGTTTTACGGTACTTGATTTTCAAAAAAATTGGAAAAAAAATTTGCAGAAATTTAAATTTTTGAAAAATCCCAAAATTTCAAAAATCCGAAATTTTTCGGGAGTTTTTGCGATTTTTCCGATTTTTCCGGATTTTTTGAATTTTCGGATTTTTTGAATTTTCTGATTTTTCAATGTTTCGAATTTTTGGTTTTTTTTTTCAAATTTTCGGGATTTTCGAAAAGTTTGAATTAGTAAACTTGGATTTTTGCAATTTTTGGTTTTTAAAAAATTTTGGTTTTTAAAAAAATTTCGGATTTTTGAAATTTTGAGATTTTTCGAAATTTTTGGGATTTTCAGATTATCAGAAGATCTGGATTTTTTGAATTTCTCAAAAATTTGAATATTCAGAAGTCTTGGATTTTTGGATTTTCAGATTACCGTAAAACCTGTAATAGAAGGGCCCCCAACACTGACAAGTTTGAGCTCAATTATCTCAGCTCCGATTCTAAAACTCCCAAACTTCCAATAATCGGTATTTTACAATTTCTTTGATTAATTTTTAACTTTGAGCCAATTTATCTCAGTTCCTATAAGAGATATCAAAGATCTGCCAACTGATAAAATGTGTATTATGATAAACAAATTATCAGAAACAGAGATAAATAGGGGTCAAAGTTAAAGGTTAGGGGGTCCTTCTATTACAGGTCTTACGGTACTATGATTTTTCGAAAATTGAAAAGTCCGGAATTTTGAAAAATCCCAAAATTTCGAAAAGTACTAAACTTCCAAAAAGTTTAAAAAATTCAAAACTTTGAAATTTTCACTGACCTTCTCATTTTCCCGCATCAGTTTCTCATACAATTTGTCGAGTTTCACGGCTGTTGAAGCTTCTGGAGTATTCAACGCTGATGACGTGGCAGGAGCTTGACGACGTGGCGTCGCCTTCTGTGGAGACAGAATGATTGACGTGTCCACTTCCATTGGTTCCTTTTCCTCTGGAACGTCTTCAACGGCTCCTGGAGCTTTTGGAGCTTTTGGAACGTCTTCAACGTCTTCTGGAGCTTCTGGTGCATGCTCCTTTCCAAAAATCGGTGGTATTAGCGGCTTCTCTCTTGCAACCTTCTTCTTCGGGACACCACCTGGAGAGACGGAATTTGAGTTCTTGGAAGGTGGTGAATTGACCGGCGAGGCGAACAGTGCCGCGCGAGTGTTAAAATTGTCTTTTGACATCTGAAAAATTAGGAATTCTTTTAAAGATTTGTATTGTTGCGAGCTTCAAAATGAGTATAATCACGGCTAGATTTGAAAAAATTTGAAATTTTGGGTCCCACCACGAAAAGTTAAGTGACTGTATCTCGGCTAGTTTTGTTCCAAATTCCATGAAAATTGTATTGTTAGAATTGCTTTGTTGTGAGCTTCAAAATGAGTATAATCACGGCTAGTTTTGGGATTTTTTGAAATCTTGGGTCCCACCACGACAATACTAAAAGTACAGTATCTCGGCTAGTTTTGATCCAAATTCCATGAAAATTGTATTGTTAGAATCGCCTTGTTACGGGCTTTCAAATAAGTATAAACACGGCTAGTTTTGGGATTTTTTGAAATTTTGGGTCCCACCACGAAAATAGGAAAAGTACAGTATCTCGGCTAGTTCTCCTTGCTTTTTTGGGGAAAATCAGGAAAAAAAAAAGAAAAAATCAATATTGCCAGTTCAAAAAAGTGACTGAATAGGGCTAGAGAGCCAGTGAGTACACGTGGCGCAGTCGGGCGGCTTGCCACGTCACACAGACGTGGCACAGTGTGGCAAGAAGAGTTCACGCAGAAACCAGGTCACGGGGTCACGTAGTTATAATTGAGTGAAATTGAGTAAAATTTGGGAGTTTTTGAATTGATTTCTCTTGAATTGGCAACAAAAACTGTGATTTTATTTGCATGGTGTTTCACAGAGCAATAATAATAGCGATAATGATAATTGATAGTGATAAAGGATACAGAATAGGGGGAAAAATCGATAATTTTAGAAAAATCGATAATTTAGAATCCAAAAACCATTCGAGTCGGTTGGAAACGAGATTTCAGCTGTTCGAGTTTTTCGAACTTCTTGTCCAACTCAGCGAGTCCCTTCTGTTGTTCCTGGTACTTGAGAGACATCTCCGCGCAATGCTCATCGGCTTCTTTTTGAATTTCCACGAGTTGGAGGAGCTTGTTTTTCTGTAAATTTCAGTTATTTTTTTGTGAGAAAAAGTGGAAAAATTGACTTAAAAATTAACAAAAATCCAACAATTTCGAAAATCCGAAAATTCTGAAATTCTAATTTTTTTTTTTCGAAAATCCAAAAATTTTGAAATTTTTGGTTTTTTACATACTTGTGAAATTTCGGCCCGGCCCGGCCCGGCGGCCCGGCAGAAAAAAAACAAAATTTTTCAAAAATGAATTTAAACAGCCGCCATGAATTTATTGATTTTTAGAATGTATTGAAAAATAACTCGAAGAAAAAAAACACTGAATACCTTTTTTCGAAACAATGATTCAACTTTTCGCTCAAGATTTTGAAGTTCGCGGTAAACTTCCGGGCCGACCGGGCCGACCGGGCCTCCGGGCCGGGCCGGGCCGGTGAAATTCGTGTTTTTTTTCAATTTTTTGAAAAATTCTAAAATTCCAAAATTTTCAGATTTTTCAGATCTTTTTTCAGATTTTTCAGATCTTTGGATATTTTGAATTTTGGGATTTTCAGATCTTTGAATTTTTCAAAAGTTGAGATTATTAGATTATAAATAAACCAAATTTTTGAAAATTTCAAAAAAAACCCGAAAAATACAAAAATCCTAAATTTTTGAATTTTCAAAATTTACGATTTTCCGAACTTTTCGAAATTTCTGTGTTTCCGAAAATTGTCAATTTTCGGATTGTTTGAAAATTTCGAATTTTTCAATAATTTGCGATTTTCCGAATTTTTGGATTTTCGCAAAATTGAATTTTTCATATTTTGTATTTCTGAAATTGTTAGATTTTCAAAATATTTTGATTTTCATTTCAAAAACTCCAAAAACCCCAAAACTTTGAAAATTCCGAAAATTCCAAAAATTTTTAACAATCCGAAAATTTCAAAATTTCAAATGTTTTGAAAATTCACCACGAATCGAAAATTCTAAAAATCCAAAAATTACCGAATTCACTGATTCTGAGAATTCAAAAATTCTAGAATTCCAGTTTTTGAAAAATGGGAACATCTAAATTTTTGAAAATCCAAAAATTTCAAAAATCCGAAAATTCAAAAATCCCTAAATTGGAGAGTCTATATTCTGAAAGTTCAAAATTGTTTAAATCCGAAAAATTCGAAAAATCGAAAATTTTTGTAAATTTTGGTTCGAAAAACTCCAAAATTACAAAAAATTAGGAAAGTCCAAAATTTTTCGATTTTTTGAAAAGCAAAACACTCATTTCTGATCTGAAAAAGCCAATTTTTTCTACTGATTTTTTGCCATTTTTGACCGATTTTTCTGGAACTTTCAGTGTTTTTTTCAAAAATCGAAAATTTCGATTTTTGAAAGTTCCATTTTTCAGAAAAATTAGAATTTTTGGCTTTTCAGATATTTCAAATTTTCAAAAGTTTTGATTTTTGTAGAATTTTAAAACTTTTAAAAATTTCGAAATTTCGAAAATTCCAAAAATCAAATCCATAATTTCTAAATTTTTTGGAAAATCCAAAAATTCTAAAAATTCGTAAATTCCAAAAATTTGAAAAATGTAAAATTTTCGAAAGAAAAACCCTTATTTCTGATCTGAAAATGCCAATTTTTCGGCTGATTTTTTTCCCATTTTTGACCGATTTTTCTGGAAATTTGAATGTTTTTCTCCCTTACCAATTTCTCATTCTCCCTGTCCACCATTTCCTTCTCCATTCCAGCCTGTCTCATCTCTCCACCCTCCTCAGTAATCGATAGAAAACTCCCGAAGAGTCTTTTTACGAGCTCCTCAGGTTTCTCCTCTTTTCTAATCGAAAAATCCAACGGAGCAATCGTTTTTTGGGTCACCGACGAGACGTGGGCGGAGCTTGTGACCTCTTCAGCCTGTCTTAGCATCGTCTCGCGGGACGTCTTCACTGCACGAATGTCCTCAATCTCTCGCTTCAGCTTAGCACTGTAGGTGGCCATCTGGAACAGAAAAATTTTGATTTTAATTGAATTTTTTGAAAAATTGAAAATTCCAAAAATCTTGAAATTTTGATTTTCAGAATTTTTTGAATTATCAGATTTTTTTGGATTTTAAATTTCAAAAGTTTTAAAAATTCGGATTTTTGAATTTTTTTCAAAATTCATGAACAAATAACTTTTTTTCTAAAAATCTACAATTTTAAAAATTCAAAAAAATCCGAAATTTTCAAAAATCCAGTACTGCTAATCATTAAAAATTCCAATAATTGTTCACTGGTAAAAACCCAAAAAATTTTCAAAAAAAAATTCAAATTGTTTTGAAAATTTCAAATTCACAAAATTCTAAAGTTTTAAAAAATCAAAAATTTTCAAGAATTCGAAATTTTTGAAAAACTAAAAAATTCCAAAAATCTCAAGATTTCAAAATTTTCTGAAAATTCAAATTTTGAAAAAATTGAATGTCTGCAATTTTCGAATTTTCAGAATAACTTGATACTAAAAATCGAAAATTTTGAAACTTTTTAGAATTCAAAATTTCCAAAAAATCCAAAAAAATTGAAAATTCAAAATTTCCAAAAAATCCAAAAAATTGAAAAATCTGAAATTTTCCGAAATTCAAAAATTCGAAAATTCCGGAAAAACCTATAACTTTGAGAATGTTTCAATTTTTAAAAACTCGAAAAATCCAAAATTTTTAAATTTCTCGACAGCATATCCTTTCTTCCGCTATCCCCGACCTCCTTCTTATCCTGCAACAGATCCTTGACCACCTGCGGCATCTCCTCCACCTGATTGTTCGCCATCAGAAGTTCCAGCTGTGTGGATTCATCAGTTTTCCGTGCCTCGTCCTCGTTATCCTTGCTAGTGAAAAATAGACGTTTCCCAGGTGTTGGCATCGATTTGCGACCTGATTTTCGGCGAGGAGTCGTAGATTTCGAGCATGGAGTATCGCCACGTGGCGGTGATGGTGAGCGCTGTGCTGCCGACGTGGCAGGAGCCTGACGACGTGGTGTCGCCTTCTGTGGCGATGGCATGTTAGAAGTATCGACGTCCATTGGCTCTTCGTCATCTAGAACGTCTTCTGAATCTTCTGGAACGTCTTCAACAGCTTCTGGGGTCTTTGGAGATCCTGGAGCTGCTGGCACGTCTTCTGGATCATTATCCATCTCAAAAACTGGCGCGGATAACGGTTTTTCTCTTGCAACCTTCTTTTTTGGAACCGCATCCCCTGGAGATGCGAAAACTGCAGCGCGAGAAGCGAAAGTTGACTTCTTGGGAGCTCCCGAGGTGACTGGTGAGGCGAACAGAGCCGCGCGAGTTGAAAAGGTCTTTTTTGACATCTGAAAAATTGTGAATTTCGCGAATTTTTGGGTGGAAATCGGGGAAAAACGGAAAAAATTGATAAAAAATCGTTAGAAACTGTCCCAATTCGAATCTCGCGCGCGACTTGCACGAAACGCGCCAACTCCACCACTGACCCGGATTCGGTGCGCTTGCCCGTTTCGCGTGCGCGTTTTTCCATTTTCAGTCCACTTTCAGCATTTTCAGAGTTTTCCGAAACAACTTTTTATGTTTTAACCTCATAAATTCAAAGAAAATACACTTTTTCATATAATTCTCACTATTTTTCACTATTTTCCACTCCAAAACCAGCGGTTTCACCGATTTTTTGTTTCGAAAATTCAAAATTAAAATTTTGACCTTAATAATTATTTCAGGGAGAAATGGCCAGAGAAAAAAAGGCGAGGAAATCGAACGGAGTGGTGCCGGAGAAGCTGGCGACTCCCGAAAAAGTGGTGGAAGTTGAAATTCCAGAATCCAACGGGAAGAAGCACGTGAATGGTGTTGTTCGTAATGGAAAACGGCTCAGCGAGTCGGAAAAGCCGCTGGGCGATCGTGAAAGAGAGCCAACGACGTAAGGAATCTTCTGGAAGTTCGAGAAGTCTGAATTTCAAAGTTCCTGTATTATGAGGCATTTTTAGGCAAAATGAGGCTTTACCAGTACTAATAAAGCTTTAAAATCACCCAAAACCCCTGAAAAATTCTCGATAATCCATTTTTCAGCCCAACAAGCGACTCGAAAAAGCCAAAATCCGGACCTGCCGGTGGATCTCAATGCGTTCTGCTCACTCAGGGAATCATGGCGAATGACAGTACCAAAATCGACGCGGTCATCAGAATTTTGAACTCGGATATTATTCATGTTAGTAAGCTGAAAAAAAAATCTAATCTTTGGGACCATTTTAACTCAAAAATTCCAGTAAAATCACGATTTTGGGTGCATTTTGACCCTTAAGTCTTCAAAAAATTGCTTTTTTGGCTCATTTTTCCAATTTTCCAGGCGACTCTCCGTGACCTCCAACCTATGCAAGTCTTGCCATTGCTCAAAATCATCGAATCTCGTTTGAAGACTAGAAAAGCGGCTGAGTAAGTTCTAGGCCATCTTCCGCTCAATTTTAGTCTGTTTTGACTCTAAAAATCGCTTTTCCAGTGGTTTTACGGTCATTTTGAGTCCAGTTTTGACTCCCAAATCCCAATTTTCCAGCATTCGCCCAACAATCCGATGGGCTCAGGTCGCCTTCTCAATCCATATGCCGTATCTGAGCTCTCTGCCAAATTTGGAAAAGGAAATCGGCGGACTCATCGGATGGCTGCGCTCTCGTGTCGGTCATCATCGCGAGCTGCTGGCGCTGCACGGAAAAATATCGACGATCGCCGATTTGATCAAGAGACGCACGAATAATGTGGTCATTGTGCAGCAGCCGTTGGTTGTATTCAATAATGGTAAGGAAAAGTCGACAAATTTCAAAAATTTGGGGTTAAAATACTGAAATTCCAAGAAATTAGGCATACCTGCGGACGGGCCCAAAGCGGGCGGTGGCGGGCCCTGTCATAGTTTCTTTTATTGATATTTTTGACCAACTAAATTAGATATGGCAGAACTCGACGAGCACTAGAAAATGATAGTATTTGAGACACTGTATCATATTTGTGAACAAAGTTACAAGCCAAAAAGCTG